GTTTCATCAATATTTATATGATTGATGAATGTAGCGATTGCATTGCCTTTGATTAATGATACTTCATTTGATACGATCCTAATGTTGGAAACAAACCACAGAATCGTTAATGGTATTGAGGCACTAATCGGATAAATATGTGACAGCTGAAAGGGCCTTTACATATATATCCGACGAGTGCGCCAAAAGTTGGTTCAAAACGATCGACGTTCACGCTTAACAACCAGTACAGATTCTAGGGAATGGCTAGAAACTCTCGATGAATTAAGAATTGAAGTTTTCCAACGAGTTTGTGGAATTTCTGATAGTTTATTGGCGCACAACAACTTGAACAATTGTACAACACTAATGATCTGCATCATCACTAATTATGGCCTACAATGTTTTGAAGCAATTAGCGAAAATTAAAAGCGAAAGAGTTTTGCGCGATGAACTGACCTGCATTTTTTCAGGTGTAACATCGAAACTGAACGATTCATTATAATACGGGTTCAGTGTTTTCATCTTGATTGTTGTTTTCTTCTTCTCTAATCGTTTGTTTTGCATCATTAAATAAATTTTCACGTATGGATCTGAAAATCAAAGTTAACTGAAAATCAGTTATTCAGACTTGCAGACGTTCAGTGATGACGTTTCTTAAATTATGGAGAACTTGAGGGTAAAATTTGCAATGCGATTGTATGTTTATGCTATTATGTTCACTATAAGCGTATGATTTTCATCATCGATCGTTTTTACTTGATGAATCATTACGTAGCTGGCCAATTTCAGTGGTCATTTCACTTCGATTTCGACCAAAAACCTTTCTCTTGGGCAAAACTTTTTAGATTTTATCAGTTTTAGATTCAAACAAGTGACTTGATTGATGTACCTGATAAGCCGAGAACGTCCATCTTCTTAAGGTTCTTGCATTCCATAACAACCACAGATAATTTGTTCTTATTCGGAACATACCGTAACGCTAGGCACACTTCACCCAATCGGTTCTCCTGAAACTCAGAAGTGTATTAAATTTGAACCAGAAAGTAATCATTCTATAACCGATCACCTTGGGGAGAGCCTCCATGATCAAGACAGAATCCAGATGGATGCAAACTGATTAGGTGAATAATCTTGAATTCATGATGCTGAATCTCGAGAGAGACAATGGCATGACTAATAAGGTGGCAACATGGAGTAGTTTTTCAGACTGATCTACAGACCAATTTTAGTTTCA